AGCATACATGGTGAGGAATCTGATGCTGTCAGTTACAGCAGGCCGAAGACCTCATGGAGACATGAAGGAAACGGTCTGGCAGCAGCTAGGGACGGAGGGGTGGACCTTTTTAGCCAAAGGGAAGCTGCTTGCTTACACCTCCATGGTGAGCCTACGGGAGAGAATTCAAAGTCTGGAGATAGACTACGTGGGCTCCATTCTGATTGTACTCAGCATTATCTATCTTGGGTGAGTTATTTCTACCCACAATTTCTACATCTCCAAATCAGTACTATCTTTACCAAACTCCACAACCAAATGAGGTTATTATTGTATTACCAACATTATATAGAGTTATAGTATTATAAATACTACATAGGGTGTCCATAAAGTTCATATGCAATTTAAGTTTAAATGCAAACACTTCTATTATTGCCAAGGTTTTTAAACTTAAATTGCACATGAACTTTATGGACATGCTTATGCATTTTTATATAACTTGTAATATTGATAATATTTATCATATCATAAATAAACTATATTTATGTTAATAAAAATTCTGATACATGATCATATTAGTTATATATTATCATATCACAACTAAGATAAACATTAATTCCCTGAGATTACCTAATTTCCGCATTTATATTTTCTCGACTATTTCACCAAAAAATTTTAGGAAGTTTTGTTTTTCAAGCTTTAATAGTCCCTTTTCATTTAGAGCAGTCATCTAATTTTTTCCCTCAAGGTTGACACTTTTAAAACACTGGGTCAGTTATTTCATAAATTATCTCATATTCTGAATCTGTCTGAATGTTTGTTTAGTTTGCCCTTTAGTTGACTTTTCCATCCCCTGTAGTTTTTCGAATTGGAAGTTAAGTCTAAAGGCTTGCTTGGGTTGAGTTGGACATAGTGGGAAGGGTGCTGTATAGAATGCTGGGCACTTTGTATGACACCTTATCAGAAGGCACATGTGCCAGCCTGCCACACCTGCAGTGGTGCTGTTAGTTAACTTGATTAGGGTCGTGGTCTCCATAGGCCTGCATCTCAATAGTTCACTTTTCCCTTGGAAATTAAAGGATGGCCTGTACAAGAATACTTCATTACATTGGTCACAATTGACCAAATAAATTACTTCACTGATTTTTCGAAATGGTGATTGTTTAAACTCGCTCATTCCTTCTGCATATATTAGCCTTCATGCTTCTGTAAAAATCTAATTGCCAAGATATTATGTTTTATGTTACATTATTTTTGGGTTGAGAAAAAAAATGAAAACAGATGTAACACAAGTCTACCAGCCTGGCTCATTTCAAAGTTAATGGGCTGTTGAAAAAGATTTTCTTTCCTATTCCTTGTATTTCACCTCAACCTCCACCTTTCATTTAGCATTAAGATTAATTTAAAGATGATCAGAAGCAGCTCTTAGAAGGGGAGCTGTCTGGAACCTTCTAGCACGCTTTCTCTGATAAACTAATAATTTTTTATGTTTAGATGTTCAATTTTTAAAGACAGAACTAATGTTTTATAGATCCAAAATCTATAGTTTCAGGTTTTGTACCTTTCTTAATCTGTGGTGTATTTTGAAAAATTTAATCTTTGAAATTGATCCTTGGGGGCTTGTTCCCTATATCTTCCCCTCTTTTTCTTTCTTTCTTCTTTTCTTCCCCCCCCCCCAAAGATGTGCTTGTGGGCTGTGTTTAGGCTAAGAAGGAAATGTCTTTTGTCATTTTAATGGAACACTTCTATTATTGCCAAGCAGCAAGTCCCACAGACACATGGCAAAAAAGTGGTCCATTTATCATGGTTTGCTGTGCATTCTCTCGGTTGCTCACTTTTGAATTTCAGCCCTATTTTAATCCACCAGTGGAGACAGTTGAAATAAAGCAGCTATGGGGTCAAAAAAAAAAATGGGAAAAGAAAAGAAGCAAGTAGCATTTGTGCCCAAAACTGGCCCAGGATGACTGACGTGTAGCCTGGACTTCTGAGATTGGGCCGCTTTCTTCCACGCTCAGATACTGGATTAGAATTATCCATGTGGCCCCGTGGCCGTCTCTGTGACCACCATCCAGCTTTGTAAAACTTACTTATTGTTTATTGTTCCCATATCTTCCACCACATAGCTATAAGCACCTTGGTGCCTGGACCTGGCTGAATTTTGGAGTTTAGAGGGCTCCAAACAGCAATCATACAATCATACTTCTGTGCTATCGACATCTGAGTAGGGGCAGAAAGACAGCAAAGGAGTGAACGGACAGGACAGTTCTCCACAGTGATGAGTCTATAAAGAACCTGATGAAGATTGAAGAGGGAGTGATTTATAGAGGGTGGCCAGAAAGGGATGCTCAGAGCAGGACTTGAGTGATGAAAAGTCTCAGCCACACATGTGGGAGGGGCTGTCATTCCATGCAGAGGAAACTTGCCAGTGCAAAGGCCCTGAGCTGAAAATGAGTCTCGCATGTTGAGGTGGCAGAAGATGGCTACATGATGGGAGGGTGACAAACAAGAGAAGAGTGGCAGGAAGTGAGATCTTAGAAGTAAGCAGGGATCTGATGGAGTGATGGGTCCCTGTAGGCCAGGCGAAGGACTTTGAAATTCATGCTGATTGCAAAGGGAATTCATTAGCATATTTAACGGAAGAGGTGGTGTGATCTGTTTTACATTTTTAAGAAATATGAAGCATGGACTCCAGGTAGGACAAGGTGTTAGAGAAATAAGAGGGTAAATGACGGACTGCCATGGTCTCCACGTGGAGATATGGGCAGCTCCTTTTCCAATTTTGGATGGTTCCCTTCTGTTCTCAGTGGACACAGACAAGAAAACTTCCTGTCCTTTATAAAATAAGCAGAGGGGTATTGGAGAATGTCAGAAGGTGTGATTGGAAACTATGGTAAATAAAAATGAAAATAGATTTTATTTACCTGTATACGATATTCGTGATTCAGTGAGACAATGCATCTCTCATTCAGAAGCAATTATCTTCCGTGTGTCAACCAGTGTTCTAAGTGTCACCAAACATATAAATATTTTGCTTCCTAATTCATTATTTTATAAATGATCACTCAATAGAATCATAAAAGTCTTATCTGGACGAAAATATGTTTCATATGTTGAAAGTTATATCTTAATGTTACATCCCTAATGTTTACATTCTCTACCATTTTTTTCTCTGAACTGCCCCTAATTCTACCTTCAAATCCTGTTTTTGCTGAAATGAAATGGTACAGATTTGGACAATGTTTTTAAAAATTATCATATACTCCAAAACCATTAAGATGTGATTAGTTACCACAGTAAGTTTAGACTGGCTTTCAGATTCATGCTAATGACAGCTGTTTAAATGAATCAGGCAGCTTACACTATCAGGTGTACCACCTCGCCATTCTCTGCCCTGTCTTCCCCTTGTCCTCATTTTCCACTCCTTGTAAGGCTAGTACTCACGGGTAAGGCAAGTGAGACCCAGTAACATCAAATTATACATGTGCAGGGTTAGAGCCTGGCTTTATTTAACAATGATATTCTGTGCAATGTGAATCTTTTTGCATTAATTTTGAACACTTTAAATATTGCATTCAAAGATTACTTATCTTGATTCCTGAGTTTATTGCCCCAGCCCCTTTCAATTCTAGAACTGTGGCAGTTTCCTTTCTCACGTCTGTCTTGTTCCTGCCCTATCCCTAAAACTATATCCCCCCTCCCTGCCACCTCCTGTAGCCCAATCCCAGCCCTGGAACTATCAGTGTATTTTGCATCTGATAGAATCCTACACTAGACAATGCCACAGAAAAGGAGGAAAATGCTAATGGTGTCATTTTTAGAGAAAGACCCTTAAGAATGATATTGATTCTGTAGAAATTTTTGTAGATACCTTTCAAGAAGTAGTTCTAAGAAAGGTGTGGCAGTTATAAAATAATATTATTTATAATATTTATAAAATAATAATAGTTTCAAGTAATATAGGAAGCTTTTAAAACTGATTTACCTTCTTCCTTACCCTTTATACCTCTCTGGAGGAGGACAGGGAGAAAGGATTAAGACAGAGACAAGGACAGGACACTGACACCAGTTTGAGGACATCTGCTGGGACTGGAGTGTGGGATCTCTGGCTGGAGAGGGGTGTGTGCAGCTCACAGGCTCATGTCGTATTGAGGCCCAAATAGCTATGAGAGTCTTCATGATTCAAGATGAGTTGAGCATTTATAATTTCTGTAGGGCCCAGGGTAGTAGAGTTGAAAAGATGAAGACAATCTATCTGTAGTGTAATCTGGGTTCCTGGTCATTCATCTCCTCCACTAAAGACCCAGAATGGTTCAGCTCTCCCTCTTTTTAGTTTTTTTTTTGTGTGTGTGTGTGTAGAGAAGTAGAATCAGAATCAAACTACCTGGTTTGAAGCCCTGCTTGTCCCTTGGTTTCTGTGTAAATTGGGCTTTTCTCTGAACCTCATTTTCCTCATTTGTAAAGTGATGATAACATTCCTCCTCCAATAAGCGGGCATGTCTCATAAATGCTATGACATCTGGAAGGGCTGGCATGACATAATATAAGAGATGTTCAAGGATGTGTGATAATGAATTGGTCTAAACCATGTCAAGCGTTCTGTGCACATTTCTAATTGTTTTTGTAAGATCATAGATGAAGGCAGGTGTATTTCACATGTCTATGAGTTATTTGTAATTATCCACAATATCTAAGGCCTTGTACTACTACCTTGCATTTGTAGCTAGTGGAGATAAAAAATTTGAAGCCACTAGCACAGTAGAGTGCCCCAGTCTAGAGTTGCAGGACACAAAACTGAAATCACAAAGTTCTTGTTCAACTTCCCCTCGGTCTCAAATCATTGTCATGTATATGTGTCAGAGACATGTGAAGGACTAGTTAGTAGAATGGAGACCATTTGATTCATTATTATTGAAGAAATATTTTTCAAAAAGAAAACAAAATGAAATAAACCCCTCAAATAATTGTCTTCTATTCTTTAATTTGCAGCTGAAGTTTTAAAGGTTTTTATCTTTTCTCTTCAGGTACTAAATCAAACGTCTCGACTCGAAATACAATTGCTGGAGAATTCATTGTCCACATACAAGCTAGAGAAGCAACTTCTTCAACAGACAAATGAAATTCTGAAGATCCATGAGAAAAACAGGTAAGGATTGTTTGTTTTATTCTGAAAATGTTTACTTATTTATATATTCTACCTCTCTGCCAACTCTAACACAAATGAGGTTGAGGTGGTTTACAAAAAAAAAAAAAAAAAGAAATATAGACCTAAACTAATTTTTAATATAAAAAGGTAAGAGGGTTATGATGAACATAATACATCAACAATAAGATTAGTACTTTTGCTTACACTCTTGAAACACTTGCTTTTTATAACTTTACAGCATTAATTTTTCTATTGTTTAGTTGTGCAAAAATTCCAACCATATCCAACAAAAAAAATTTGATTTTGTAAGTCCAGTCAGACAAAATATTTACATATTTCAGTGAAATCAAAATCAATAACCACAAGAATTGACCATGTTGGATTATTACTGAACCCCTTACTCTTAAGCTTTTGGAAAGCTTAACAAAGTTTGGGGGTTCAGAGATCTTGCACTAGAAATAAGCAAATATTATATTTTTTCAAGCAGTTATTTACATGCAAAGATGATCATGTTTTGTTTGTTCATTTCAAAACCATTTGCCCTGGACACGATAAATTTCTTTGGTAGCTTTGCAGATGTGATAGCACCTTTATGCTTTATAAACTATGAATTCTCTCAGAACAGTGAATGGAACTTAGCGATAGATCGTGAACCCTGAAAGACTATATTGCTTTAAGGTAATTAATATCGATGATGAAAAGTTCAAAACACTGACTTCTGTAGGACAAGTATTTTGTATCTAATTGCATTTTCTTCGAGGTATTTGAGCAATGTAAAAAGAAGTTACAATTCTTATGCATTGGTCTTTAGACCAAGGTATTGATAGCAATAATTAAATACTATTGAGTTGATGGACCTAGAAGGAAATCAAGAAGGCACCTAAGAGGACTGCTGGTTCTCCTACTTTCCAGATGAAGGAACAGGGACTCAGTAGAGGGGAGTGACCTGTCCAAGGTCACCCAACTTGCTAGTGGCAGAACTGAGAGTGTAACCCAGGGTTCTTCGCCACTCCACTATAACACATGGCTCTGTCACCCTGTCTACAAGGATTTCCCAAATTTATGCTGAAAGTAGATCTTGATGCCAATAACTGCAACAAAAAGAAGGTAAGTTTGTTGCTTTGGAATCTGGAAGGGGTCACTTATGCTCTACGACTTCTATTTCTAAGTTTTACATTTATTTATCCTTGTACTGTGTCATGGGGTAAACTGCATAACTATAAATAAACTTGACAGGACTTGACCCTGAACTGGCTGCAGGAGGAATTGTTTTAAAATTGAAAACCCTGTTGAAAAATACCCTTTATCCTACTGCCGTTTCACAGGAATCAGGCATATATATGAATGCAACAGTTACATTTTACTCCAAGTAACCACTGTCTTAAGGTCACCTCTCATACTCTAGTCTCGTCAATAAAAATTAATCCCCTTTATAGTATAGGTAGTCGAGAGTCACAAACATTTAGAGATGCACAACTCACACTTATGAACAGAGGCTATTAGAGGTAATAGGTAAATATGCCTGTTCCAACTTACATACAAATTCATTTTAAGAACAAAACTATGGAACCTATCTCATTTGTAATGTGGGGACTGCTGTGCTCCCACCTTGAAAAAAGTTGGGGTTAAATTAGAGATTGCCAGGTGTCCTGAAACATGGCTGGCTGACCAAACTTTAAGACCAACAGATTCAGTCTCTCACTTGGTTCAAGACGCTACTTGTGAAAACTTTTTCCAGGAACCATGAAAAAGTAAAACAATCAAAATTTCACCTTGTTTTTCTGAGTTGTTATTTGTTTTGATAATTATATAAATAACATACATTTATTATAGAAAAAAAAGAAAAGAAAGGACACAAAGAGTAATTAAACCACGTACAGAAATCTGACCCCTAACCCCACACATAGTATATATAAATAAATTGTTCACAGAAAATTGTTTTGTAACCTACTTTCTCTGGTGGCAGATATCTTTTTATATGTGTATCCATAAATATCCCTCTCATTTCATTCTTTATCACTGCATGATATTTCATTTATAGGTGTCACCCAGAAGGGTTTTCCTCTGTCTCTCAAAGTTTATCACCACCTCATTTATCTTCTAAAGAGTTCCCAGCATGAATTTACATTCTTCAGTTCTTCCCCTATTGATACTTGAATTATTCATTGGTCTACCTATGACACTTTTGCTGTGATGATACCATAAAAATACCTGGGAGGCCTGAAAGGTCTTATTATTAATGACAAAAAAAAAAAAAAGTGCCGTCATTAAGTCATCTTCAGTGTCATTGAAATGCCAGGTGCTCTGCTTCACTGTCTGATTCTCTTCCCCCCTTTTTTCATACTCATTCTTTGTGTGGTTTTTCCCTCTTTCTTCTTCTTTTTTGTAAAAATATATACCTTCTACTTTAATTCTAGGTCATTTTGGAATTTTTGCTTTCCATCATGATTTTTGATACAGCAGCTGGTATCATTTCCCACTGTGGATTCTCACTATGAAAGGTTATTTTTTTTTAAGGCAAAGTGCTTAGAAGTTGTTCTTTTTGTTCTATTGGTGTATCTGAGTTGGGGGGCAAGCTGTCCCAAAAAGCTTTGCCCTGCATCAAGTGGAAGGGGCTTCTCCATGTGCTAGAGTCTCTCAGGAAAATCTGACCCCTGACCCCATGCACATACCTGCCTTCCTATAGTCAAACAGTCATCTAATCATCCGTCTTTGCCTCATTAAACTCTAATTTCTACAGAAAACTAAGGGGTTTCACATATAAAAGCATACCATTTATGTTATTAATAACATTAATTTTTCAAGATTATAATAATTCCTTTTTCTAGTAACCCAGGTATCTCACAATGAAATTCATTTCTGTGCTCATGCTGATTAAAAACGCATCATATCTCCTACCCCACACCTGTTTCATTTCTGACCTTCCATCCTTTAAGTACGGCATTATCTCACAGGTGGTCTGGGTATATTTTCTGTCAACTTCTATTCCTCCGGCATTGCTGTCTGTCTCTCTACAGTTACATGTCTGCCTTCTTGTTGAAGGGCGCAATGGATGTAATGGAGGGTTGGTTGAACCAGGCATATTCTTTCATGAACCATCTTTTTAAAACAGGTTTTTTTATACAAACCAAAGATCCTCATTTGTGATATATAGCAAAGGTTCCCTATTACTATTTACCGTTATTGTTTATTATTACGTGTGCAGTGGAAGTAAAGGAACTCTGCCAAGTTGCACTTTCTACAGCAACAAAGAAATGTGCTCCCCCCATGAAAGTGGACAGGAGGCCAATGTCAAGCAGGAAGTTGTTTATATTTTTTAAAAGCAGTTTATTGATTATTCCTACCTATACTTTATATGAATTTTAATCTTCCAAATGCAACAAGAAGATATTTCCACATCGAGGCATCTCTGAAATGTAGGAACAACAACATTCCTTTGGTTGGCCAGGTCTGGTTTGGATCAGCTAATACACTTTGCAAAGGGGATTATCTAAATTAAGCTCTGCTTCCTCCCCAAGGAGCGTCAGAGGTTGTGTCTGGGTGCGGGACTTACCAGCTTTGAGTATGATGGCGCCTCAGCTGCCAAGTTGGTGAGCTGGCCCTTAAGAAGGTCCACCACCTCTTTGGCAGAACAAGGAGGAATATTTTATGGTTAGGATTATACTACACAAACATGCTGAGAGGTCCTGCTGATTTACATCCTGACAAATTAAATGCATCATTTGTGGGATTGAAAATGGATTTTTGGCCTTATTAGATTCATTTCTTTATCCCCTAAATGGCCAAAAGCACAAGCAGAAATAGGATTAGTAACATGTGCTCTGCTGTTTGTTTCCCTAACCGTCTATTGGGAAGTGACTCAAAGAAGCTTCTAGTTTGCTTCCTGAAAAATATTTCTCCTGGAAAGATGTTTTTGCTTTTGTCCAATGCTACCCTAATCTCTAAACTAGGTTTTGTTACCTCAAGGAAATAGTACTTGAAAGTAAGGGATTCATAATTCTCTTATGTCATTGAAATTACACAACCAAGAACCCACATCAGTGGGAAACATTAATGCTGACCTTGCTCATACATGGATTGGTCTGAGCACCAAGAAGGGCATGAAATTGTAAAGTTTTATTTGCTCCCTCAGTATAGTTTCTACTGCTCTGTTCAAAACAATAGAAAAGAGTTAGACAAGGAATGACGTCATGATGAATATGTGACTGAATCTGTTAGTCTAAAAGTTTGGTCCTCTGGCCAAACCTGCACATCTCTGATTTAAACCCACCTTTTTTCTAGGTGGGAGCATAGCCAAGCTAAAGAATATCCCAGACACAATCTTTCTGCCTCACCAGGGTGTCACAGGGGTGTCTAACCTGTGACCCATGAGTCATATACAGATGATTTGAGTAATGTTTTGTTTATCTGTGTTGCTGGATGTCATAAAAGTATGCATGGACCTTTATTTTTTGCTCATTGTTAGTGGTTTTTGCATTTAATGTGTGGCCCAAGACAACTCTTATTTTTCCAATGTGTGGCAGAAAAGAAAAAAGGTTGGACACCCCTGGAGGGGCTCTCAATACCCCGTGCATACAAAGATGGAGCACGTGGCCTTTTTTGATAATTGTGTTAAATGTGCAGAGTGAAGATTGGTCAAATCTTCAATAAGATCAAAATGAAACTAGATACATGATGGCCACTCCAACATCCTTAGAGCAATGCCAGCGGCTGCCTGGCTACCTAGTGGAAGGTGAACATCTGCACCAAGTTCTTCGTATCTCCCATTGCTAATCCTCCAACCAGTCCTGCGAAGTATGCATTATTTCTATTTTACTCATAAGAAAAACTGAAGCTTACAGAGGTCAAATAGCTTGACCATATTGAAAAATGAGGGTTCAAGTCCATGATAATTCTCTGCTTTATTATAAAAATTATTTTTGAACATGGTACAGCCTCAAGTGTAATTGTTGAGATTGTCAAGTTATTCTCTGAACACAAATATAAATGTGAAGAAATTT